AATGCGAGTGTCGTGCGTATTTCTAGTAGTACCCGCGAACACGAATGTGAAGTATAAATTAAAATCGCAAGCTGCAAGTACATTCTGCGTCAGTATTCTTTTGCGCCCTATGAAGTTAACTCGTTCTTGGTGAGGCAATACTGCTTTAATGCGTGTTTCGTCATTCGCAACTATGCAATTATTGAATAAAGGATGATTCCTAAGATCAGGAATGTGATGCTCTATACCGTCGTTATAATTGGGGTCCAGTTTTATTATTTGTGCAAAAAGTGAGACAACAGTGCGGAGAACCTCTTTAAAGTAGTGGCATACCTTCTGCAATGAATGATTAAATAACGTTTGTGCCTGTACCCCTTCCCATGAGCTAATATATACAAAAACATACCAACATGCTCGTACACGTTGACATGTTGGCCACTCATAAGTCCATACTCATCAAGAAGAATATGTGCAAAACGCTTCAACATTGCTGGCTACATTTGGAATTCCTAGTAGCAAAGTTGGCCACTACATTGCATTACCTCTAACATAAACATGTGATCGTTTCTAGCGAAAGTACATCGTCGAATCGATCGGCATTGTTCACGATAATAGTTCCTCACATCTTGTTCTGGTAATTGGCAATACCATAGCCATTTCATTATATCCGCTGCTAGCTCTATCAAATAGTCCTCAACGATTTCATCTTCATCATCCGACCCCGACAAAATAAGGCAATTGAAGTCCAAGTCCTCCAATGCAAGATGATGCTCCTTTTTCCAAAAGGCTCACAACAATTGCAAGATTGATAGGGAGTTAGAACGAATGTTATGGGGGAAATATTTGTGTAGTATTTGTATGTAATTATGTTGCAACTACACTTGTAATTTATAGCCGAATGCAAGGGTCTCCCATTGAGAATGAATTATTCAAGTCCAAGACTTGTCAAATAAAGCCTAACAAGTCATTGAACGTATGAGTACACCAAATACAATAATTGCACATGAAAGTAGGTCCCCGATGCTATTTCAATTGTAAAACATGCAACAAATATGACTACAATAATGAACGTAGGTCTGCGGGCCCCGTTTAATTGCAAAATATTTAAACATAGGCATATAGAAAAAGGAACAAGGAAAATACTACCAAAGGGAACCGAAAAACAATGTTAACTAATATCCGAATGGAACATGAAAGACACAACTCATCAGAAGTAAATACATTACAACATTTAAATTAACCAACGTCGGAAAAAATGGACTTTTTCTCTGCCTTCTTGTGTTCATCGAAAACATACTTACACCCAAACTATCTTTTCTTCCACGTCCATCATGCATGCGTAATGGAACTTCTCGATTTTTCGCTATAGCCTGCCGCCAACATTAGTTATTCGACGTATGCCTTTGCGTCACTCCGAGCTGCCCGTATGATATTGTTGATCTGTATTGATACTTCCTCAACGGCATTGTTGGCGTGGTCAACGTGGAAGGAAAATTTGCGACTGGACAATTTATTTTTCTTCCCTTTTGCTTGCCCGACGCAGACTTACGTTTATCCCTGTTGCAAGCGCCTGAAACATCCATGCTCGATTTACCTTTACCAGTCAGTGCCTCGTCATTTGAGCCACTACTCTCATCGTCTACAGGAACGGCGTCGCAAAGTCCTACATACCACTGTCTTCAGACAAGTTGAACCCTGCTCAGCTTGGTAGGTGTTACAGTGTATTTTCACTATCAAAGGTGTCTCCGAAGAGCTGTTGATAATGGAGATAGATGTCGCTAACATCTTTGTCCTTTTAATCCTTGTGGTTGCTGTTTTCTTTGGAGATAGATGTCGCTGATGTCTTTGTCCATTTAATCCTTGTGGTTGCTGTTTTCTTACATCAACATTGTAGAAAAAAATAGTTTGTAATGGACACTATTTAGCATTAAAACACATTACATAGCTTACAGTGCGAAAACATTCAATTTCAGTACATATCGTCCAACAAGAATCTCTTACTTGAATGCCATGCTTACATGGCATTCAATTCTCTATAGAAAATACGGAATGGTCAGTGCATGAAAGTGATTTCCCGTGGCCGTTGGCTAGATGCACCATCTCAGTTGTCCATTATAAACTAGCAGTAACATATGTTATGGAAGGGTTATTCACAAACATAAATCGAAATATGCATGTTGAACATTGGAATAAACCTAACTTGTGTACATAAAGTGTAAGTAAAACATATAACCTGGAAATCCAATTTGTACAAGAACCGTTTTATGCCTAATTCAATTTCAACTGGCAAACGAATGCATACACAATTCAATGGTAGTAAACATAAATCAGTTTAAACCAGTTGGGAATTTAAGTAGAAGCATCAAGAAAGAAAATCCAAGCAGCATGAATCACCGAGCGCACAGTGAAAGAAACATAAGTAGAAAGAACAACCTTGATTTTTCGGCACCACCATTCCTCCTCGGCGCAAACGTGTTCGGTTGTTTTGTTAAACTCAACCTTGGTACAATTAAGCAACTCCCTCACACGTTGATGGTCCCGTCTCATGGAATTCTATTAGTTTCTCAACTGCTGCTTACTTCGTTGCAGCCGGACATGGTATTGAACAAGAACATCACGTGCTCCCACCCGTGTTTGGTGAAGCACCTGGTCTGCCGATGACCCTCTGCGATGGCTATTTCGCAGGCCGCGATGAACACCTTCACGATGGCCGAACTCCATCTAGCATTTTTATGTTAGCCTTCATTGTTCTTCACTTCGAATGGTGCAGACGAGCCGCCTTGTGGGTGGTAACCAACGTACGTGAATGAATTATGTAAGGAAAATGCATCAAAGACCACAACGTAGTATAGAAAAGAGGAAAGGAAGACCTTTACTGCACAAAGTAGAGGATTGAGAACTGAAATCGAAATCGAAAGAATAGCGCAAACCGACCTGAGAAATATGGATCCATAAACAATAGTTAATCGCAGATCAAGGGCACCTGGAAAGTAGGAACGATGGGGACTGAGTCGATCGGGCTCCTCTTCGATTGCTAGCAACTCGTGCCTGGCGAAGTTTATTTTTATTGTCAGCACCTGATTGTTGGAGAGAGACCAGGAGCTGTAGAAGAAACACCTAAGTGATTTGAAGATTGTTGCTGAGTTGTGCTCCGAAAAAATGGCGTCGTCGGTGGCGAATTGTAGGAATTTCAAATCGGGAAAATTGAATGGTCACGGCGGTGGGATGAGAAAGGAGCCCGTGATGAAAAGTGAATTTTACCATTGATTGTTTGACTGTTGATCAGTTGGGGGTAAAAAAGGGGAAATACAACAATCTCTTCCTGCAGCCTGTTGTAATTTTCATGTCAGAATGTAAGCTAGTGGACTGTGCAACGGTCTAAAAAATTCTAAAAATGAGAAATAAATGGGTTCCAAACAGGGGCATAGTATTTTACAATTTTAGATATTTGGTATATATTATTTTTATTATTAAATTTTTTTTAGAATGTTAAAGTGTTTAAAATAATAATAAAAATAAGTAACATTTTTTACGAGTAGCCTCACCTAGGCTTGTAAAGTTTGAAGTTTGATATCCACACTTAATTACGCTTTACACTTTTTAGAACACTAAAAAAATAGACTCCAAACAAATTTCATTTTCTTAACTTGTTTCTATATGATTTCAACTTTGATCATGTTTGGGAAATGTAAATAAAAAGATTTAAATTATAAATAAATTGTGGATAATTTGTGAGTTCTTTGAGGTTGTGGGATAAAAAAGTGATTTGAGTGTTTATAAACAATTTATAAAATATGAGTCAAATATAGGCTAAAGTTGAGTGAAAACATTTGTCCCCTCACTGAATTTGCCAGATTCACTAATTAAATCTTATTTTTGTAGATGATCATAAGGCTACAGGTTCTACTCTCTCGTCATGCGACTACGTCTAAAATCAAAATCTTCCCTTCCATTCCTTTCCCTTCCTTTGATCAACGTTTAAACCAACTTATCTTTTTTTTTTTCTATTTCTCGATAAATGGTTAAACTCGTATTGGGCCACATAAGCAATAGAAAGAATATATACCTACGCGATTCTTGGCCATTCAAGGACAAAGGTGACCAATCAAAGGTCCACGTAATTTATAACATGTTCAAGGATGAATTATCTTAAATATAAACAACAAATGCGTGATTTATTTTTAATATAGATTCAGTTACACTCGAAATAAGTCAACATATAATTAAATTTAGAGTATAACTATCCAAAACATCCTCCCTCGATTTCTTTAAGGAACAACCAATTATCTTAAAAAATAAATTAAATTTGAACCTAAGCCCTTGTTTGATTTTGATAAAAATTAGATTTTTAGTAAATTTGATGAAATACGTAATTAAAAAATTGATAAAATTTTTAAAAAAATGAATTTTGAGAAATTGAGGTAAGATGCTTACTTTTAATCGCGGACAAGTGATTTCTAGTCAAGTCAAACATACTCCCCCGTATCTTCTCTCCATCATCCCGCACGAAAGCGTCCATAGAAGCAAAAGTAGTTAAAATTCAAAAAGAGAAAGGCAAAAGGCGCTTTCATTTCCCTAAAAACGAATCGCATTCTAATTACAACGTCACTCCCATCTCAACAGACCACCACGACTGCACACGGATTTGGGGCGTGCATCGGACACACGGCACGACATAGCTTCCAGCAAAGCATAAACATATACCAAACTGTTAAGACCCCCCCCCCCCCCCCCCCCACGAATCAGTACCGTACAATCTCATAAATTTCACATTGAAACTCGAACGGTGAAGCAACTGGATCAATGATTATCATCCATCCCCCAAGATAAGTTAATTTAATGGAGTCAAATCCAAAGCGCCTCCATTATTATTTACGTCATCTAGCTCACCATTAAGAAGAAAAACCCAAAATTGAAGTTAGAGAGAATCCAAAGCCAAAACCAAAACCAGACTATTCTTCTTGTTTTGAGCTGAAAGAATAAGGGCGCGGTTCGATATTGTAAAATTAATGGCTCACTCTATGAGGAGTGGCGGTGGTAAGTACTATACGGTGGGGGATTACATGGTGGGGAGGCAAATAGGGTCGGGTTCATTTTCAACGGTTTGGCATGCGCACCACCGCATTCACGGAACCGAGGTGGCAATTAAGGAAATTGACACGGCCAAGTTGGATTTGAAGCTACAACAGAGTCTCAAGTCGGAGATATTCATCCTAAAGAAAATCAATCACCCTAACATCATTCGTTTGCATGATATGATCGAGGTAGGTTCTATTATTTTCATTTTGAGAATTGTTTATGAAGAGAAGATAAAGTCGAAGAGCTTAGTTAGTTTTTATTTATTTCCTTTGGTTTTTTGAGTTTCATTGGAATGTGAAATTTCTAAATTGATGAATATCACTTGCCGTATATTATTATTCTATTATCTTTTAAATTTAAATTAAAGCAGCGTTTTGTTTTTGGAATATTATGACTATGAAGTTAAAATGTACAGTTTTTGCTTCTGAATTTGTCAATTTATGTATCTGATTTTATCTAGAATTTCCTTTACTGATGTGGTTATTACTCTGACAAAGTCACAAGCTTCTTTGCTTGGATGGATTGGGGACGACAAGTTATAGAATGATCAAGAATTAGACCAAAACAAAAAAAAAAAAAATTAGAGAACTTTAAGTATCCAGAATGCAAGAATGAAAAAGGAGATGGTGTTAGAATTAAGGTGTGACCCGAATTCTATTTGGAAGACTACTTGGGAATTCTAGTTGAAGTCTATTCGAGAATTTCAGTTGGAATTCAATTTGAGAGTTGGTAGTAGAATTGAAAAAGTCTTGAATGCGTCCAAGTTGCAATTGGAGAAGGTTTCTCGAGTTTGGCAGTTTTTTACTCTTATTTCATCCCAAATATTTCATTATTGGTTTTACCTATTGTATTGGGACACCTTATATTAAACTCTTCATTGTATTATATTCTTAATATGTTAGGGATCTTAGTATTATATATATGTAGTGTACAAAACATATTGACTCAATCTTTACATTCTACACAATAATTTGTAATTCTCCATTATTGATATTAATAAATTTTCCTTTTCTGCCCTGGTATAATTTTACCACATAAATCTTGTATTATTGTTTGATAAAATTTTCATATTATCGTATTATTGTACTCGTTTAAATCATAATAAGTGGTATCAAAGCGATACGTAATTCTTAACAGTTGGCTCAATTTCTAACAAGTGGTATCAGAGCGAGATTTGATCAACTCAATTTGAGGTTTTATTTTTTGTTATGACAACTATGAACTTGATATTTCACTACTGGTTCGTAACACCAAATTTTTGCTTTAGCCGGTAAAGATGTGAGCACTGCTAGTTCAGATGGATTTGAATGATGAGTTGGGATTTGACAAGATGCCATCAACTTGGAGTGTGGAAAAGCCATATCACAAATATATCTTCATCTTTCGAATAATATTCTTCATGACGTTTTGAAGGAAAAAATTGCCGGTACATTATAGTTGAAATTTGAGCAGTTATGCATGACGAAAAGCCTAACCAACAAATTGCATCTGAAGCGAAGCCTGTATTCTCATTGTATGATAGAAAGTACATTACTGAATGATCACATAGCCTTCTTCAAGGAAATTATCGTTGATTTGGAGACTTCGGAGTTCAAGCATGATGAAGAGGATTTAGGGTTTATATTATTGTGTTTGTTACCCGTTTCATACATATCGTTTAGAGACACGATTTTATATAGTTATGATACTCTTGTTATTGAAGAAGTTTATGATGCTCTGGTTTCAAAAGAGAAGATGAAGCATCTTATTGGATCTAAGGCTTCTGAAAATGGCCTTATTATTCATGGTGATTATATGAGGGGTAAATTAAGGTCTAATTACAATAATAAAGTTTGTAATTATTGTAAGAGATGGGGGCACATCAAAGGATTGTTATAAGTTGTAGAAGAAGGAAAATCCAACTGCTGCATATCAAAAGAAAAAACAATCAGAAACTTCGGGGTGAAGTCAGTATTGTAGAAGATAGTTACAATAATGGAGAACTTTTGGTTATTTCTGACGGGGACTTCGAACTTGACGAGGATTGGATTCTTGATACAGTTTGCACTTTTCATATGTATCCTAATTGGAATTTGTTCTCAACATATGAAATGGTTTCCTAATATGTTATGGTGAAGAGAAATAATTTACCTTGTAGGATAGATGGTATTAGAAGGGTCAGATTAAGAAGTAAGATGTTTGATGGGACTGTTAGAACACTTGATGCTGTGAGATATGTTCTCGATTTGATGAGAAATCTTATCTCCTTAGTACTTTTGATTCAAAATGGTACAAGTACACTTGTGTAGGTGGAGTCTTGAAAGTTAGTAAAGGTGATCGCTTTGTATTGAGGGGACAAAAAGGTCCCAGTTATATGTCTTGCTTGGTTCCACAGAATCTTTGAATATTAATCAAAAGAAGTTAAGGACTCGGGTGGATTTCGAGTTTTGTTCAGTATCGTTGGAGTTTGGTTTAGGGTCCACATTAAAGAATACATCTCACCCGAGTTTAGAAGTTAGGGGTAATGCCACTTTGCCACCATCATCGACGGTGCCATTGTATTCAATTGTTAGAGACAGACCTTGAAGAGATATTAGGCTTCCACAATAGCACGGTGAAGCTGATTTTGTTGTTTATGCTTTAAGTGCAGTTGAAGGTGTTAAGTCTAGCAAGGAACCTTCTCCTGAAGCATTTTGTTGATTCCCTTATAGGTATGTTTCTGCCATGTTTGGTAAATATTAAATTATTTGTGATTTTGTTGCTCGTAAGGATAATTCGAGCAACTTTGGTGCCTAAGGTAATCCTGAGCAATGCTTGGATTCAATTGATTTTTATTTTTAATTTTTTTTGTTATTGGGTTTACCTTAGTTGGGTTTTGTAGTAGAGGCAGAGAATTTTTTTCTGTTGGAGGATTTTTTGGTAGAGAATTTTTGGTTGAAGAGTTAAGTTTTATTCTTTGCATTGGAATTTGTCTCCAAGTGGAGAAGTTTTTGAAATTTTGTTTATTGTAGTGGAATTCGAGTTAATGTGGAGTTTTTAGAATTAGGTTGTGATTCGAATTCTATTTGGTTGGGAATTCTAGTTGAAGTCTATTTAGGAATTTAAGTTGGAATTCAATTTGGGAGTTAGTAGTAGACTTGACGACGTTTTGAAGAGTCCAAGTTGCAATTGGAGAAGGTTTCTCGATTTTGAAACAGAAGTTGTGATAGAATGATAGTTAACCACAAGTGAAATCGACAAGTGTTGTTTGCGATATGGCAAGTTAGGATCTTGACCGTTTAGCGGAATGCATATCTTTTATATTTTTGGGTTCCGGATATACTCATTTTCATGACTAGTCGATTCTTGTCGTAATTGTGCATGTGTAAATGAGTAGTCAGTCCGCTTTTAACTTGTATGAAAAAGACGAAGGCATTGATTTCCTCAAGTGTGGCGTTTTTGAGCCGCCATTTTGACCAACACGGCTTATGAGAATGTTTTGCCGTCCCGAAAACCTAATATGACCATATTATGCCTTTTTTGCATTTCATGACTGCGTAACAATTGCTATGTCATCCCAATTCACTTTATTGTTAATGAATGTCTTTGGATGGAAGTAATACAATATGATATATGGATCTTGGTTTTGTTGCATGAAAATATTTTATACTGCTCAAAGAACAATGGTAATATTTTCTTTGACAATTTAATTATCATACTTTGATTGACTTCTGTTAGTAAGCAAGTTTCCTTTTGTATGTTATTAGGAACCTGATAAGGTATATATCATTTTGGAGTACTGCAAAGGGGGTGACCTATCAATGTATATTCAACAACACCTAGGAAGAATCCCTGAAGTAACTGCAAAGCACTTTATGCAGCAACTTGGTATCTCTATTTTTATTTTATTTTATTTTTTCCATTTCTTGGTTATATGTTTCATTTCTCGAACTCACATATTAATGTAATGTGTTCCATGCTGCAGCGGCAGGTCTTAAAATTCTGCGTGAAAATGACCTTATACATCGGGATTTAAAACCCCAGGTTTGTTTCAACTTACATGTTGGGTGATTTTTCACCAAGTTTGGTGATTGTTGTCTTCATATAAAATCAGGGATTCTTCAATATACATGTTTCCCAGACTTCTATATAAGGAACATTTTGTGATGGAAATGTATGTGCTTATTTGCTTATATTTATCTCTGATTATTCTACCAAAAACATCAATTGGTTGCTGGTTTATGTTAATTGTTTACCTATTTTTTCTTCTTTTTCCCACTTTCCTCTTCCATCCATCTTTTTTCAAATGGTATAATTGCTTACTTTGTAATGATCTAATGATTAGAAAGTCTTCCACTATACAAACAGATGCTTAGATTACACCATCTCAACTGCATCATGTTCTAGGGTATTGCAGTATATAAAACAAAGGAACTGCAAATTTTGTTGTGAAAGATCATAATATCACCCTGATCTTTTAATTTAAATTCTTCATCATAGTTTTCTGTATCGATCCACAAACTGTTCAAACTTTCGATTAACAATGATTCCTCATCTAATTAGTCTTTCCATGTAGTCTTTTTACGTGTCACTATCTTTTTTTTATTGACCAGTCCTTTTCAGCCTTCAGTTTATCACATAACTAAAAATGCAATTTACATGTTTGTGACGTGGTGGAAATAGCAGTTTACTTTGTTGGGATTTCCTTTAGTTAGTGTTATTTAATAGACTATTAAAACTAGATTTAGAAATTTGGTAAATTCGCAAAGCACCAGATTTAAGATTGCAAATGAAACTTTTATAGTGTTTAGTGATGCTTATGCGTCAATATTGATAATTACCTTTCAGCATTTGTGTTGTCTTTAAAAAGAATTTTACCAACCTGTTTATTAAAAATATAACTACATTTTATATTTCTCGGTCCAACACAGTGTATTTTCAGCTCTTTCACAATGAATAATCTTGGGCGACGAACAACTTAATTATTAGTCTTTATGTTACTTTTATCAGATGTAAAAATTTTACATTCCTTATTCCTAAATTACAAGATAAACTTTCTATGCATTCTTTTTAGTTCCATTGAAATAATATTCATTTCTTGATCATGGAGGTGCTTAAAAGGATCGTATTGGTTATATTTATAATATTGCTACCAAAACCTAAAAAGACATCTTTACATAATCTTAATAGTATGTTCGTACTTGAAACAAAAGTCTCATGTCTTTTTCAAATTATATTAGAAAAGTTGGCTTGTGCTTTATAATACAATTTTGTTAAATGATATGCAGTCCCTTACAGAAAGAAAATTAAAAATTTGAAGAATACAGTCATATTTTGAGAATTAATAAGATCCTTTCATATGAAAATCGCTGGTTAAAAGCTTTAAAACTGTAGGTAATGTTTCTTGAGGTATAGAGGGAGTATTTAGAATCACGTGTACAGTAATAGCGAGCATCTCAGTGTATCTAACTGTATAAATATTTGTAATCAATTCATAAAATTTGTGTTTTATTTTATGATTGATAATATGGACTTATTATCAACTTGAATTTGCACCCTTTGATCCCTATTATCTAAAAACTCATTTTTTCTAAATCTATTTTCAACCACATATCCTCACGGTAAAATATTGTGCACGTAAATCTAGAACTTTTTCTTACTTTTTAACAATACATTCTCCCAAAATTCAAACAGCAAAAATGGGGCTCAAACGTAGGCTTAGTATAATTGTACAAGTACATCAAATTTCACTGCAATTATAGAAACAAAGCTTCATTTATAATAATCAAGCAAATGAGATCTTCTCAAGTAAAACCAATTATTGTGTTAGAACAATAATATTAAGCCCCCGTTTGAGCCATATTATTTTTCTCATTCTCATTCTTCTACTCATTTTAAACCACACATTCTTCAATAAAATAATATTTTCAATCACAACAATCAAACTATCCCAACCATAATCCCCGCAAACCAATGCCACATTATTTTTTTCATTCTCACTCTTCTACTCATTTTCAACCGCACATTCTACAATAAAATAATATTTTCAAACACATTAATAACATTTCCTTCTTTTTCAACCACATATTCTCCATCACATCAACAGTAAAAATTCATTCTTACTCCCAATAAATTTTTAGATAGCATCAGTCTCTATGGCTAATAATCAGAAGACAGACTTTAGTAAATAATATCTTTAGGTTCCCATTTCACTGGTGTGGTGCCCCTATAAGGTGTCTTTAATCACAGTAGAGAAAGAACAATGTATTATGTTTGATGGTGTGGTGCCCCTATAAGGTGTCTTTTACTGCATGTATGTGTTTGTAAGTTTTTCTTCCCATTTGTAATGAGACAAAGAGCTTTGCCTTGTCTTTTTCTTACTTCTGGAAGGAATGACGTAATGTTTAGATGCTGCATTCAGGCTATAATCATGTATTTTAATGCCAACTGGTCAGTTTGCGTTCACAAATTTCATTTGTATGTGTGTAATACTTGGAACAGAATCTTCTCCTTTCCACTGATGATGAAAACGCTGTTCTGAAGATTGCTGATTTTGGGTTTGCTAGGTAAAGTTACTGTTTTTGTGTTTGATATAGTTGGTGTTGGCACATCACCATCATCCTGGTGCTAGTTCTGTAAGGATGATATGTTGGTGCATGCATTTTACTGTTAGACTTGGGTTTAGTTAGAATCTGTAATCTTGATAATGTATGAATCTGGATGGAGCCCGAAGCACTGGGTCTAATTTTATTAAAAAACTAGAATGATTTGGAGTATAGTTTGTACTGTTGTATTATTACAAACACGTTAACCATTTTTCATTCTTAGAATTGTGGCAGTTTTGACAAACTTCTTTTTTCACTTTGTTCTTTTCTTTTCCTTTTTGTTTAGGGCATTTCCTTAACTTGAATCTTTTCTGATTCTGAATCTATCACTTGTCTTTAGAAAATACATATAAAATATATTTCCTTTCCGGCTTGTCTTCTACCAGTTTGACATGTATGCTGCAGTTTCCCCTTCAACCCACCCTTTTTTTGTATTCATTAGGATACTTTTTATCTTGATAATATGCTAGTGTTAAGAAACACGCCTAAGATGTATATAAATTGGCATCATGATCCACATGGAGCTTAAAATTTGCAGTTCAGAAATTCCTTTTTCTTTTGCCAGATCTCTACAACATAGAGTTCTTGCAGAAACCTTTTGTGGTTCGCCACTATACATGGCTCCTGAAATAATGCAACTCCAGAAGTACGATGCAAAGGTGAGATTCATCTTGTATATAACCAAGGAAAGAACCATCATCTTAATCGACTATTTATTTTGAGCTGAAAATGCAGGCAGATCTGTGGAGTGTTGGTGCCATTCTATTTCAACTTGTCACGGGGAAGACTCCATATACAGGAAACAATCAGATACAGGTTTGCTCATTCATGTTTTCATCAACACAATTATTTAAATGTATTATGCCGGATTTTTACTGTAGAAGTTGCTCTTCATTGCCTTAATCCAATCTGTAATGCATTTGCAGCTGCTTCAGAACATTAAAAAATCGACTGAATTGCAATTTCCTCCAGAGGCGAAAAATTTGAGTCCTGATTGCATGGATTTGTGTAGGAAATTGCTGCGCCGTAATCCAGGTATTTCATGATGATTGCATATTGTGTAAAGACTGTGCAGATCACATCATCGTGACGACCGTAGTATTAATTTAATAAATACGTATTGTAGTATTACTGATAGAATGAATATCCATTTTCCCCTCTAACATACAAAATAAGCAAACTTGATTTATTATATTTCTGTTTGCAATATAGTTGTACCCAGCAAAAAATATGTTTTAACTGCTTATTGTTGGCTCTATTTATAAATAAGTAGATTAAAATCGATGTAGCGGTGAACAACATGCAACCTTTTTAAACTGTAATCTTAATCCACTGTTTTAGGCTCCTTGAGATCTATTTTAACACTGGGCTTTGATCTTTTAACTTCAAAACCATGTTGTTTCTCGAAAAATTATTCTGATGTTAATGCTTATATTTATTATGTTCTTTGAAAGTAACCAACAAATATGTGTGTGGTCTACATCTGACATTTTGTCTCGTGATTCACATAGATTAACATATGTAATTTAAAGGCTTATATTCTCAGAAGTTTTAGTTTTTGTCCAACTTCGATTTTATCGTATGCACAGTGGAGCGGTTGACATTTGAAGAATTTTTCAATCATCTCTATCTTTCTCAGAGGCAACCTCATGATTCAGTCAGGTAAATGAGGTTGATCATATGTTCTTGTTATCTTTACTTTACGATGTTGTTTTCGGTTGAGAAAGATAAATTTCTTTGTTATATGAAGGAATAAGCAATCTGCAAGAGCAGTATATGATTTCCCTTTTTCTGAAAGGAACCAAGAAGATGGTTCACAGGAAGATTGCTTGCCCTTCAGTCTAGACGATGATTCCAGCAGGCTTCATTCTCACCCATCTACGTTAAGGACGTCTCCCATGAGATCCACATATGGATTTTCTCTTGATTTAAAACCTGATAAGAGGGAAGTTTTTAGTCTTTCAAACAAAGCGGATTCTATTTCCAACTTTAATAGTACCCCACGTAAAACAGAAATTACAGGGTCCAGTCTTGGCAGCCGTCGACTTTCAGAGGGAAACCTGAAAGGATCTCGTAAAACCTTGGACTTCAGGCAACTAAATACTGTCCCAAAAGGTGTTCTTTTATAAATATCCAAATTTTTGTTTCAAGTATAATTGCCTTGATGTACTGACGGTCTTGCTAAAAGACGTTCCTCTCTATTGTCTTATTTGCATCGGCTGGATAGATGTGGATTCATTCGAGTCAATAGATCAGGAATATGTCCTCGTGCCTGGTCCCCCTACAGACTTATCATCTTCTGCACATGCTTCTATGCTAAGTCATTTGCCATCTAAATCTGGTAGTCCACCTCTTAACTCTGTAAATGTGACTTCCGCACCAAGTGCCCCGGTGCCAATAATTGGTGCAGCAACTGGCAGAGTCGACTACACTGGAAGCCTAGAAAGTCGCAGCTCCGCTCCTGGGACTTCACAAGGGTCAATGGATTCAGGAGACACTTTTGAAAAGCCATCAACTGACTTCATGACAAGGATCAAGTCATTGCAACGTTGTGCATCTGCCATCACTGATTTAGTGAGGGAGAAGGTAAACTAAACAAGAAGTACCGTTTTTGTACTACTGTTGATTGATAATTAGATGGGACAAGAAGTACAGGAGAAAGAAATGATTGAAGGTTGCATTTTCATCCCACTACAGAGAAAATAGCTCTAATATATTTAGCTATTCAGTTTAATCCTAACATTCAGTTATAATTAAAACTTTTAAGAGATTAGTTTTTAGACAATTAAATTCATCAGTCTTATGATGGTAGTGGTCAGCTTGAACTATCCGAACACGCGTGACCTGGTGAAATCTCTCTTTTTTTCTATTTATTTGACAGCCTGCCTATGATGGCATGGTAGTAATATAATCTAATTTTATCTCGGTGTACTGGTATCCCACCATTTACCATGACATTATATTTGGAAAGATGATTCTTAGAACTGTGGTAAATAAACATGTTTATATGAAGCTATACCTTTAGATTCTGCCAACATATTTATATCGAAGGTATGCCATTATATTCTGCCTATTCAGCAGTAAGTCTTCAATGGTACTAAATTTAGACTCTGGTGCATGGCCCCTGCATGCATCAGCAACCCTGAGACTTTCCTTCTTGAACAAAAACTCCATATCATTTCGAATTTTTCCGTTGAAATGGCTATTATGCATGTTTTGATATAACATGTATATGGACTAATGTCACAACCATTTATTAGATTGAGGCAGTAAACAACTGGGAGCATTTTCAATTCAGCTTCTAATTCTTGCTATGGCTATTATGTATGTTTAAATACATGTATACAGGCTAATGTCATTACCGTTTATTAGATTGAGGCAGGAAAACAACTGGAAGCATTTTCAATTCAGTTTCTAACTCTTGCTATATGGAAGCAAGCATTGTATATTTGTCATACTCATGCTGCATCAGCTACTGAAGGAAGTCCAATCCAAGAGACTATAAAATTGAAGGAAATCTCTAAGGTGCGGCATAGTCCTGATGTCCTAGATTGTTCTGATGATATTAAATCTCATGGGCCAGTGGATATATATTCTCAGATAGAAAGAGCATTTGTTCATGAAGTTGGGTATGCGGAAGAACTTGCTAAAGTGATAGAACCTGGTATGGATTTAATGTCTTAATATACTTGTATAGTTTGTCACATTCTTTTGTAGTTGAAGTTCAATAAGACATGGATATGCAATCCTACTTTTGAGGTTTTATTATGGACAACTTTGAATCCATGGAGCTTAGTTTCTGGTCAAAATAAAAAAATCATTGTGCACTCATAGTACCAGGAAGCTTTAATAAATATTTAACCCCCTCCCCTCTCCATCGGAAGAGAGAGAGAGGAAAAAAAGAGAGAGAAATGTGCCTGAACAAGGACTGGACAACAAGAAAACACGTGAAAGTATTTGCTCATAAATATTATCACTGCAGATCATTTAAAATTTTACTGGCATTTAATATACATTTTGGTGATGGTTGGTGACTCTCTGACCCTCAGGGTTAGGGATGGCCGATGGCAACAGGGCAGACAGGGCACTCATTTGCCCCGTTTACTACCCCATATTATATATTTTTTGTTTTCTTGTCTTTGAAAAATAATACTAAACGGGGTGTTGCAGCGGATCCCTGCCCCCGCCAACCTTATTGTGCGAGGAATTCCGGACCCATTTGGCTGGGGGGCCCACGGGGTCTCGACTCTCGAGTTGACCTGGTTTTGTTGCCATCCCTATCTCGGGCTTAAGAATATTATTCCATTTCCTGTCTCTGTATGGATTTGTCCATGCCCAATAGTTGTATCTAGTTTGCAATCATGTATGCCAAATTTTGTTGTCTTGATTTTAGGAAATACGGACTTGCCAGACGCAATGGAGCTGATATATCAATCTGCCCTTGCTTTAGGCAGGCGTGCGGCTGTAAGTATTGTCGTTAATTTTATATTGAATATGCTGTGTAATGTTGTATGCAAGAGGCAGAGGTATGGACTAAAAGATTTGTGAGGTCCAAATTGTTGGCATTATGCCTATATAGATATCTGAATTAGCATTTCTCATATTACTTTCAAATAATATGAAAAATCTTTACTAATTTTGTAGTAAACATTCTATGGGATTTACTATGAATGAAATTATTTGACTTGAAATGGTTTCCAGGTAGACGAGTACTTCAGAGATGCAGAAAACGCACTGATTTACTATTCAAAAGCGGTGTACTTATTAGTATTTATTCTAGTGGAAGCACCATGCCTCATTCTGAATCCTCCGTTCTCTCTAACGAACACAGAGCGGTGTAGGACTCGGAATTACATTGATGCCCTTATTAACAGGGAGAATATTTTGCGAAGGATGGCTCTTTTCAAGTCTGACGATCGGCCATGAAAACAAGGGTACAGCAGCTGTATAAAGCAAACTCTGATGAAATTCTGTGCTTTATGAAGTGAAATTTTTGTTCTGTACTGTGATTGATTGTGTCTGTAAGGAGCATAGGATGGTTTTTGTTGAGATTACATAATGGTTTTTTGTCTTCATCACCTGCTTTTGAACTCAACCACACAAACCATTGAATCTGAAATTACCCGAATCTGATCAGAATCTGACTGAAATAGCTTGTTTCGTTAAATCCTGGTTCGATTCCCTTTTTCTTTTTATATAGAAAAAAATTGATTTAATTTTAGAACTATTTTTTATAAATTCTTATTTATATCAATCATTAAGTTAATTTGTATGAATTAATATGTAATTTAACTATCGCCATGTTTGAGTCCCATTTTTTTTATAGGGAAAATGTATTTTGGAATAATGATTTTTTATGAATGTATAATTAAAAAATAAGGAAAAGTTTGAGTTTGTGCGTAAAATTATTTTATGGTAGAATGTGTGGTTGAAAATGAGTTTTTGAAAAAAATAAAAGCTAAACTTGCAATACAAAAGCATGAAAGTCCTACACAATAATTTACATTTTGTAACGATTTTAGAGTATAGAAATTATTAGATTGGACCGTCAACAACTGCTTATGGAATTAAGGTTTTTCTTTGGAACATTCACAGGAAAAAGGATTCTCTTTGGGTGAAGTGGGTTAATCAGTTTTTCTTGCGTGGGGCCGCAATCTGGGATTACACGGGGAAAAAAGCTGATTCTCCTTTGATTAAAAAGATTCTGGATATAGCTGGGCAGATTTTGCAGCCTCATATGCGGCCGACAAATGGTGAAATTGGCACAGTTCACGAATCTGAGTGGTTTGAACAGCAACAGGCAGCAGTGAATGGGCATATTTCACGTGCACAGGCTGCTGCGCAAATTCTGGATAGCTGGGTATGTGAGGGACGATTTAGTATCACAAAGGCATATGAGTTTTTCAGATTAAAGGGGCCGAAAGTGGTCTGGGCAGCAACAGTGTGGAACACGGCTATCACTCCTAAGCACGCCTTCATCTTATGGCTGGGGACCAGGTCCAGACTACTGACGAAGGATAAACTAGTTTACATGGAGATTGATCAGTTTTGCTGTTTTTGTGGCATAAATGATGAGACTTGCCAACATCTTTTTTTTGCATGTCAGTTTAGCGCGGCAGTATGGATGAAGATCAAGGCTTGGCTCGGTATTAGGCGATCTATGTCTACTCTTCCTAGTGCTCTCAAATGGATTAAGAAGGAAGCACGTGGTACTACTTGGCAGAGTAAAGTCAAAAGGATTGCCCTTGCTAGTACTGTCTACCATTTATGGACGGCACGGAACCGGAAGATTTTTGAAGATCTTAGACCAAATGTTGACGCCACTGTTAGACGAATCAAAACACACGTATACAAAGCCATGTTCTCTTTGTATCCGAGTGTTTTGATTCAATTTCAATCTTTGGCTACTAGTTGCTAGATCTATTGTATGTAATTTTATGTTTTACTTCATTTGATTTGTACACGGGTATGCCCGGTGTATTTGGTTTGGAGCTTCACTTGTGAATTGCCTGGGTTTGTCCAGTGCACTTGTATATGGTTTTGATCAATATAATTCACTTTTACCGATCAAAAAAAAAAAAAAGAATTATCATTTATACTCTGTTCAATTCTCAAAATAAACCAGGCCGAATACTCAGGTAATTGGTGTAATACCCTCTAATGTTTGCTAGTTTTGTGGAACTTCCCTAATTTTTAATTTTGGCGTAAAATTCTCTTAAATAACCCAAATGTTGCAAAAGATCCATTGTCATTTATTTGTGTTATTTATCCATTAGAAATAGTTTAGAGGGTCAAAATGAATAAAAACTCAAAAGGGTATTTTTTTTTCTTTTCAACTCCACCCAATTACTTAAAAGACATATTTGTTTAGAAGAAGTGGGAGATGAACCAACGTGTGAAATCAATGTAGAATCCCAAAAAATCCAAAATGCCAACTTTTGCTGGTTTACTTTCTGCTTATGCTTCTATCCGAATCTAGGATTGTATTACGCAAAGTTTACCCATTTCAAGATTGTGTGTGTGTGTGTATATATATATATATACACACAGAAATGATCTAATGAGCACCGGTGCTTATCTTATTCTAAACACCAATGAGTTGGCACATTAATTCATTGGTGGATTGGAACTCACAAAATCTTTATCCACCAATGAATTAATGTGCCAACTCATCGGTGCTTAGGATAAGATGAGCACCGGTGCTCATTAGATCATTTCTGTATATATATATAATGCGCCAACTCATCGGTGCTTAGGATAAGATGAGTACTGATGCTCATTAGATCATTTCTGTATATATATATATATATATATTACATTAGAACACAACACTACATGAAAAATCGAATAGTAGTCTAATTTTCACCATTCACTACCTACATTACAACCAGAGGAGAATACAAGCATGGGCTCAACCGGACTACATCCCGTATTCGACCTTGCAAATGTTCACTTTATTCTTAATTTTTTTTAGATAAACCCATGTACATTTGTATTGTAGCTCATGTCCAAACACAGCTGAATCTGCCACTAATTACAACAAAATCACAAAATAAATAAATAAATAAATAAGCTTTCCATTCCACATCTGCACATGATCAATTGCAAAGATTTCTCAGGTTCCTATAGTCATGGGAAACTCTTTTACCAATTTAGGATAACTAGGTGGGACCATCGAAGATTTTTGGGAGTTAGGCTAGCGGACTAGAATTTAAAAAAATTCACTTACTACCCCGACTAATTAATTATTTTTTTTCGAAATTATTTTGATCTTTTAAATACAATTTAAATTAAAAACATAAAAATAAAAATAATTAAGTGGGTTGGGGGAATTCAAGATGGGTTCCCATCCCATTTATGGTGGGAATATTCATACTCGGTAATTTTGCCATTCCATGCAGTATAGAATTTATTTATTATTATTATTTATATTTTTCAATTTATGTATTAGGGGTGACACTGCATTGTCTCGTCTCAAATAAGGCGGGGAGTTCCGACCTCGTTAAATAATTGGGGTGCTCAGGAAACATGACTCCCTCTCTCCATCTTTCGAACATGCCCAAATTCATTTTTTTTTTTTTTATGTTTTAAATTTAAGTTGCATTTAAAAAATAAAAAAAGTAATTAAACGGGACAGTAAATGAAAAATATTTTAATCCTACCTACATCCCTCCCTTACATCTTGGAAATCTTTAACAAGAAAGGTCGCTCGCCCAATTCCGATCCGTACTGTTACCATTCCTAATAATTGACACATGGGGATATGAATGTTAAGTACGTTGAGCAGCTCAACTTGACTTGATAATCAGAGCTCAACATGATCCATAAGGGGAGTTGGCAGCCGACTTGCTTGAAGAAAATGCAGTGATACATGATGACATTAATAATTATTCACGATGGTCAATGAGGTGAGAACTACTTGATATGCATTCCACGTAGAGCACAACATGATAAGCCCTCTACGTTCACATAAGTCGTCTACCACTATGAGGTCGTCGACCCCTATGAGACTTCCTACCACCATGATGCCCTCTACATTCACATGAAGCGGCCTACCACTATGAGGCCGTCGACGCCCATGAGGCGGCCTATCCACTATGAGGCCCTCTACGTTCACATGAGACCGCCTACCACCATGAGGCTGTCTACCACCATGAGGTCCTCTACGTTCACATAGGTCACCTACCACCATGAGGTTGTCGATCCTCATGAGGCTGCCTACCACCATAAGGCCCCTACTTTAAAATAGGCCGTCTACCACCATGAGGCCCTCTACCACCATGAGGCCCTCTACGTTTACATAGGTCGTCTATCACTATGAGGCCAGCGCTACACTTAACTATACAAATTACAATGAGCTGGACGGGAACAGCTCAACAACAAACGTGGGCACAACCAACCGCTTGAGGAGTGGGGATCATCCTATCAGAACGTAAGGGAAGTTGGAAGATTTACGTGGGACACGTGACACCATTAACTGCTGAATGAGTGCGTTGCATCAGGTTCCTATAAATACCCCTAAAGTGAGAAATGTATGGTTATCTTAAAACCCGAATTATTTGAATTCCAATATATTCTCCTCCTACTCTCTGAAAACACGCCGGAGGTACAATGGGGGAGAAAGCCCCATCCTCATTTTGTAGGTAGCAAACACTGATCGGAGCAGCCTGAACACCATCCTCGTCTAGGGGAATATCGAAATTTATCTCACTACAATTCCATTGGCGCCGTCCGTGGGAAACCACAGAACAAAAAAGCTATGTCAAGGAGACGGACTAGGAGTGAAACGCGTATGGTCGGAAATGCGGCAGAGATAGAGTCGGAATCTGTCGCAAGGGGTCACGTCCCACCACCGCCACCGCAGTATACGTCGTAGAGCCAATTCAGTGCCTTGGAAACTCACTTGGCAACCATGATGGCCCTATTACATAGTTAAACGTAGAAAGCCGCAGCCCTACCACTGAACCTGCCAGAGGCTATACACGAGCAACCGCCCCAAGTGGCGCAAACGGTTATCCCGCATGTTACTCAACCAATAGTGGAGGACTTAGGGGCTGTATGGGTTGCATTTTCGAAGATTTCCTGAACTTTTATGGACTTGGAAAGGAAGATAGATGAGGTAATGTCCCAGAAAATAGATGATACATTAATCAAGAAGAAGGATAGGCGAAGGCTAATGGTTTTGGAAGAAGATCATTTTGCACCTGAAATCATGGCAGTTCCCTTACGGAAAGGCTTTAAACAGCCGATGATAGAAGCATACGATGGAGTCACAAATCTGCTTGACCACTTGCTAACCTTCATTGATTTAATGAGGCTGTATGCAGCCCCAAACGCAGTGATGTGCCGATCTTTTCCCCATACACTCAAGAGAGAGGCAAGAGACTGGGTGACCACCTTGGCACATAGGTCTATAAAGACTTTTGATGAGCTTTTCAGTAGTTTTGTGGCATACTTCATGAGTAGAAAAAGGAAGCGTAAGACGGCCATTGGATTGATGCAGGTTGTACAAGGGAAAGACGAATCTTTGTAGAAGTACTTGGCTAGGTTCAGTCGGGCGACACTTGGTATAAATGACATTCAAATGTTTGCAGTGGTAATAGCGTTAATGAATGGAATGCGAAACTGGGCCTTTAAGATGTCACCCTCCAAAACCCCCCCAAAATTTATGCATGACGAAGTTGAAAGGGGGTGACAAGGACGTTAATACAGAGGAACCAGGGAAGGTCACTAAAAATATTAGAGAAAAAATGGGAGGCAGAAAGTCACAAACGAAAGATAGGTGATGAGCGAAAACCCGTTGATAAAGACAAGCCGAAGAATAAGTGCATAAACAAGGGGTACACTCATGATCAATCGGTTAGACAGAGGTCAAAGGAGGTCAAAGCCTTCACCCTTTTAAATACTCTGTGGGCCAAGATATTGATGAAAATTCGGGACATGAAATAGCTCAACTGGTCGAGACCGATGGTGGCAGACGTAAGAGAGACAAGAGCAAGTACTGCCATTTTCATAAAGACCAAGGGCACGACACGGAAGAATGCATCTATTTGAAGGAGGATGTGGAGCACCTCTTGAAGTGAGATTTTTTGACTAAGTAAGCGAGGAATAATCGAGGCAAGTAGAAGGTTGATGACAGACTATCACCCAGGATTGGTGTTATAAATATGATTATTGGAGGGATCGCAGCGGGGGGACTCGAACTCGACTAGAAAGAGCTATGCACACACAATCGGGGTCTGCTCCATTCAGAAAAGGCCAGGTTTAATGAAAACATCAATTTTGATAAGGAAGATTTAATAGGCGTGGTAACCCCCCATGATGATGCCTTGGTGATAGTCGGCGACATAGAGGACTACAATATCAAGAGGGTGTTGATTGATGGCGAAAGTGCAGCGAACATTTTCACTTGGGAAGCATTTGTTGGATAGAAAATTTCGTTGAAAAAAGTGAAAGCAGTATCCACCCCCATCCAAGGATTCAGAGGGGCTACTGTGAAACTGGATGAAGTTGTGGAACTA